GAAAGAATTGCTGGAGGGAAGCACCAAGCTCTGGTTGTGCCACAGATGCTCTACACACACCCTTGTGAATTCTGAAGAACAAAACTGTAAATCGTCCTCTCAATTCTGAGTCGCTGCAATTTGGCTATAATCCTCTTGGCCAATTCTCTTAAAAGGAGGTAATGGTTAGCAGATGCTCGTGTTGATGTTGACTGTCAACATCAAAGAAACAAAATTTAATTTCTGGCTGGCAGCTTTTAGGCCAGCAATCTCGGTCTGCCAGCAAAAGCTGAAATTTCTGGTGAGAAAGAAACCCACCCCGCACATGCTCAGAAGTGCACTGATTTAGGGCCTCGAGGAACGTCAACGCCGCCCTGCAATGGTGGGTCATCTGCTCCGGAGAAAATACAAGCTTCTCTTAGAAACCTTCCCGGATTTCCCACGGTCACCTTGTGGAAGACGAACGGGTCCTCATCCCAAACCGGGTTGAAAGAGTTGCCCTGCGAGGTCCGGGTGCGGAATTTGCGCTTGGTGTCCACCGGCAGCCCAAACATGTCCACCTCGACGTAGATGCCAACCTTCTTATCAGACAGGAATTGCCCAGATATAATCTGAGATGGAGATAAGGAGAAGGTGGGTTTCCTGGCCTAACTCTAAAAAGCAAGGCTGGTTGAGTTCACTTGCCAATTTCTGATGCAACATATGGAGGGCATTCTATACATGCTCAGGAGAACTCTCTTCCACCCAGCCTGCTAGCTCAAATAGGTTCCCCTGCCAATTAGTGATGCAACATATGGAGGGCATTCTATATATGCTCAGGAGAACTCTCTTCCACCCAGCCTGCTAGCTCAGATAGGTTCTTCCTCCTGTGCCTGTGGCCCCCCCCCAAGCCTTTTTAAGAGGGAGTCTGACAACGTGGTAGCGTTTCTCTGATCGTCTTCACCTCATCCATCTTGCCCGATTTCTACCTAGGGATTTTAAGTCTTCTGAAAGCAGAGCCCAACCCATTTCTCTGCCTACACGTCCATTTGAGAGAGAATTAACTGAAGAGTAACGCTGCTGGAATAAATCCTCTTTCTCTACTGAATTCATTGCCATTTCAGAAGGAAGTTTAATTTTGCTTTCGGGGTGAATCCCTGTTACGTTTCTGCGATTCCTTACAAAAATAATTTTGCGGGATCCAGTGCAAAGGGACGGTGTCCAGCTCAACATCTGACTGATATATCTAAGCAGTCTATCGCAGGGCAGAGATGCAGCCTGGCTGCCCAGGTAGACCGCCCCTAAAGCTGGAGGCTTTATTTAGTCATCCCGGCGGATACCCAGAGAACCCCACAGATTGCTCTGCCCACCAAGGCTGGTACCTTCCTTCCCTCTCCCCTAGAAGCTGCCAAAGAGAGATTTCTACATAGCTTCCACCCAACTTTAAGCCCCTTCCACCTTGCCATCCTCCAACCTTCACTTTGACCGTGTTCGCCACAATGCCATCGACGATATCTTCGGTGAAAGGGTCGAAAAACTTGTCGGGCCGTCGCATAAATTCGGGCTTGAGCAAGTAGCCGCTCCGGCGGTTGTACTCAAAGATGCCCAGATTCAGCTGCATCGGCAAGTCTGCAGGAAGAGTGACACCAAATTGCAAACCAAGTTCCTAGTCCTTATTGCTCACAAGCGGAGGTAAAGCCGAGGAAAACAAGCCATGACCAGCAGGCTATGTACTGTACACCCCATAGCTCCATTCCTCCTCTATATTTAGAGGACAAGATTATTTCTAGTGGCATGTATTTTTATAGAGAATTTAAAACTTCCAACTGTGTTTTAGAAGTGGGGGAAGCTAAAAAACGGAGGGGAAACCCCTGTCACCCCCCACCCCAAGTCACCCACTCTTTGGCCGAGAGAGCTTTTCAGGCTCCAAAAACTTAAAAAAAAAGAAATATGTAAAGAAATATTAACATTAACAATATCAAGATTAATAACATTATTATTATTATGGTTGGTCACCCAGTCAATCAGATGTTTAGACTGCATTTGGGATTTTTGTCCACCTACTGAGTCCTTCCCAAAGACCTGGGATCGGCCGATCTTGTGGTATAATAGCGTTAAAGTTGATTCATTATTATTCATAATCATTATTCAATTATAATTATTACAAAATAAATAAATAAATAATATAAGTCAATTGCAAAGGGCAGCTTTACTTGGAACAGCTTCTATCCTGTGACGATACCTTTAACACCATCAAATGACATCTGCTTATCCCAGGTCCTTGGGAAGGACTTTATTATTTATTATTTATTTAATATTTATTATTATTATTATTATTATTATTCTTCCAGGTCCTTGGGAGGGACTTGATGGGTGGATAAAAAGGCCAAATCCAGTCTAAATATCTGGCAGACTGTGCAGCCAACCACCACCACCACCACCACCACCACCACCATCATCATCATCATCATCATCATCATCATCATCATCATCATCATCATCATCATCATC